GCGTATTGCAAAATGGCAGGTCATGCTTACAGCAAGTTGCAACTCTGCTGGCTTTAAACTTGTTCAATACCTTGCCTAGTAGTCATTGCTGTAATAAATTGTGACGGAGTTTTCATCCTTTTTTCCCCCCGGATTTTTCATGATTTGGTATGCTACTAATTCTCCTCGCAACAGTACACTGACACAGTTTGCAATATGCTGCCTCTGATCCGTTTGAAGATCTTTTGAGCCGTGGGTATATTTTCTCCCCAGTTACTATTATTATACTTGCGATGTCATAAGATGCTTTCCTGTTTTTTTGATGACGTGGCCATTGGTAAAAGTAATAAAATCTATCACATATAGAACTAGGTAAATATCCTATCTTTTTTCTGTCCTCAAGTAATTTCTTAACAGTCTGAATCACTTGGTATCAGTGGTGGGTTTTGGTTCTATATTCCTCATTTATTCTAGTAGATTAACATAAACTACAGAAGGCCTTGATTTATCGAAGTCACCATCAGTTTGGGAAGACATCAAATACAAAAAGAAATGGCGCGAATCTCCGTTAGTCTGTACCAGGACATCACAACAAAGTCAAACTGAAATAAAAATGTTAACTGTAGGCCTTCATTGCTTATAGTAAATCTGCGTGTTTCTAACGAAGGAACCAAGAAAATAATGTGAGGACATCTTGTTAAGAAAAGACAGGAAACAAAAACAAAATTTGCCAGTTCAACTTCAAATACGCCATGTTTGTGGAATCTGGCACCAAAAATGTCAATATAGCAACCCTGCACAGAATGACATGCCCGTTAGTGGAGACAATGCTTGTGACAGTCGTTGTCCCTTGAGCTGCAAATACTGGGTCAGGAGACATATACAGTCTGGTTCAGTAGATCCAAGTCTGATTAAAGTGTCTACTATAAGAATTATTGTTATTCCTATGTACATAATTTTTTAAAAAGTTAGTCGCATATCATTGATAGGACGTTGCAGAACCAACCCCAACATTTCGTTTTGGCTGTTTTTTTTTTTTTTTTCCTAGACAAATTTTACTTTCAGTAATTTGACATTGCCTTCTGAATGGTCAGCTTTCAGCACACTGTCGAAACCAACGTTAGACAAATCGTCTGCAGCTGGGATCAAACCCTGCACACAGGCATTACGAAGCGCGTTCTCAATCTGTTGCGTGCTGATTTGGGAGAGTGTAATATTGTGTGAAGGTCAGAGTAGTATGATAGTACTTGCCGGGAGTTCAAGGGGATTAGTGTCAACATTGGCAAGAGTAGTGAGGGGGAGAGAATGTTGACCAGTGAAAATGTATTCTCACGAACGAGGCATGCACGCCCATGAAAGTAAATGCGTGGGTTCACTGTATGGGAGCTGACAGCATGGCTAACGATATAGAGAAATTGTAAACTGCGTGATTATCAAGTAACATCAGCCGCCCACATAATCTCGAGAACCCCCACGTAAGCGTGAGTCTCGAGAACGTCCACATGAGCATGATTCCCGAGAACGCCAACACGAGCGTGCCTCTCATGTAAACATTACCGCCCACATGGGTTTGGAAGGGATAAATTGGGCTGCGCAGACAGTCCGAGTCAGTGAGCTGTAGCCACAGAGCTAAAGCACTGGGGAAGTGCAGGTTTAGCACACACCCAGCACGAGAATGCTGAGAGTCGAGTCAGAGGCCGAGAGTCAGGATACCAAGACCAAGAGAGAGACCAAGTCAGGGTCAGTCAGTATCTTTCGAGTGAGACAGACAGAGTTCCGTGCAACTATCAGGCATAAAAAAATCTAAGTAAGGGTTGTAGTTGCAGTACTGGTCGAAGGTATAGTCCAAGGGGACTGGATGCTCCAAGAGTAACTGTTCTTGGTGACGGCGCAAGGAGGACGTAGGATCACCACGAAAACAGATCAGTATGGATGCCAGCGAGCGCGCATAAGTCCTGTCGGTGTGGTTTGGAGAACGACATCCGCTTAACAGACGAACGCAGACGCATATGTCTGCTAAATAATTCAATATTTAGCAGACATATGCGTCTGCGTTCGTCTGTTAAGCGGATGTCCACGAAAGTTCGAGTTCTTGATTAAGAGGGTCTTTTTAGTATAGTGTGAGGCGACTGACACTTGAAAGTATTATGAACGTTTAAGCACACGCCGACATATAATAAAAAGACCCTCTTAATAAGAACTCGAACTTTCGTGGACATCCGCTTAACAGTCGAACGCAGACGCATATAAATATTAAATATATATATATATATATATATATATATATATATATATAATATATATATATATATATATATATGACGTTTGCAACGGACATAATATAAAGACATATATTCAAAGGAATATAATTCCAGCGAAAGTTAACTTTGCGTTGTGAAACTAATTAACAGAAATTCATATAGATCTGGCCGCCAAAGTCACTTGTTAAATCATAGATTGTAGCCATAATTTTATTTGAAAATTTACTGATGCATCTTCGCCGTTTGGAAGGCCTTATTTTTGTAAATATTGTACAAACAAAATACAGAAAGCGCTTGAGATTTATAGAACAGACGAGATTTTATAAATAGAGCACATTATGGCTCTCCTAATAATTTCTAACCCGGCATTATGGCGGCCAAACAAATATAACATATGCAGACTTCCGGCGACGAACAAATCGCGGCAAAACTAGGATTACCTAACAACTTTAAGAGACGCAACACTGCAGACAATAATTGCGACCATTGACACTTTCGAGCGTTTCTGCATACGATACTAGCAGACGATACAAGTGACTATTAACAATTTCGAGACACGCAACTTTACAGACGATAATAGCGTCAAGGCGGGGAGACCTAGCGCTCCGACGCAGATTAGCGTCGTTGTTGTCCTCAAACTTTTCGGCATGCGCAAAACGCGGTTACACTCACCGCCGACAGTATGCCCCGCGCAACGCGCGGCGCGGATAGTGGGCTATAAACTAGATGCCTGGGACTCACGAGCAAATAAATTGGAGGAAGTTGCAGGAGATGCGGTAGCTGCTGCTCGTGACTCCTAGCCATCTAGTTTAGCCCCGCATATCGCTGAGACCCTGTTAAAGCATTCGTTTCGTTTTACGGATCCGAACCTAGTTTTGCCGCTCGGCAGGAAGTCCCACCCCAGCTGTATTTGGCGGCCCAAACTTAACCTAACGGTTGAACGAGGTTTCTGGGACTTGTGCTGGGGTGATCCTCATCCGAATGGTGGCGCTTTGTGTCAAAGCGTGTTGGTTGCTCGTCGTACGGTCCTGGTTGGGTTAAATCACTTACTTACTTATTAATTAACCCTTTGCAGACCCAGTCAAAATGTCGGACGCAAATAAATGTTCCGCATACGTTGGTATTTACTGTGTCGGGTTCACAATAAGGTCGTTTCAATCATGCGTTGGTGACCAGTGTGTTGATGGGACCTTGCGGGGTAACTGGTAACGGTGCCCCATCCATCTAGCGCTTCGAGGATCACACAAAATGGTATGCTTCACTGACGTCAGAGGTCACATGGGCTCATTATGAACGTCTGCATGGGATGAGACTTGAGCTGCAGTACTCTACGGTTTCCATTGTTACCGAGCACTTGGAAACAGGAAACTAAGGCTCTAATTCCCTAGATGCCGACTGCAGCGAAGAAGCAAGAGATGCAGAAAATTGCTGCATACTTTTCTGGGGTTACTAACGCAGAGGTCTGCAAATTGAAGAATAGCACTGATGGGTGGTTACTGTTGTGCAACCCAAAAAGACCCTCTCCCACATTACGTGGAAATGTAGACGGGCGACGAGGAGGTTGTTTACTGCCTGATGATCACTGTTCATTGTCGAGGTACGCCTGTACCATATATGGAGATGACTCACACTGGACCAATCAATGTCCAAGCAAACGACCTTCACAAAATAGACAAAAACCAGCACAGCGAGCCCCAACCCGGCAAGTACAGACCATAGCAAAACCAGGTTCAAAAGTCACAAAACCCAGTCCAACGAATAAATTTTCACCAGCCTCCGGAACAACAGGCAATCATCTCAAGGCCTCGTCTGTATCATCAGGGAGAAGACATCGGAAATCTCCGTCAACAATAAAAGGAGACGAATGTCAAGCGAAACCTCGCCGGCTACCAGTTGACGACTACTGAAGCCTCACAAGACCCTATTATTACACCACTGAATTACAAAACCGACTACCTTACACCTTCTAAAGTGCACAGGGCGTGCAAAAACAATATAGACTTTGACAAAATAACAACGGGAACAAGACCTCTTCTTCTTAAAGTCCATGCCGTGTGGCGTTGGTAGTCATGTCTACACACATCCTTCTGTCTCGTATACTTTCAGTCAAATCCAACACAGATGATCCTCCATGCCATGATGTCAAACTGTCCCAGCATCATTTCTCTCAGTCTCCCTCTGCCCCTCCTCCGCTCCAAGTTCCTACTGTCACGATGTTCTCCAGTTTTCTTCTTCTAATCACATGACCAAAGAATGTAGATTGTCACTTTCTTGTGTGGACAATCAATTCTCTTCTTGAGTCAGTTTGTTTCAAGACATTTTCGTTACTCTTTTTATCTGCCCAGAGTATTCTCTTCATTCGTCTATAAAACCACATTTCAGAAGCTTCCAAATAGGTTTTCACTAATTTACCAACTGTCAATGATTCAATTCTGTATAGCACGATAGAGCTTTGAAGAATTATCCTTTCTCGTCCCAATTGACAACAAAAAAGACAACATAAAAAAGTCTTCATTTCATAAAATGCTGCCTTTGCTTGAGGTGTTCAACATTTACCTTCTTTAATACATCTTCCATCGGATATTACCAGAGTACCCAAGTACTTGAACATATCATTTTGCTAGAGGTTTGTCGCATTCACGTACTCCTGGAGCCATTAATTTTAGAGAAGGCGGTGGTCGCATTTACTGTAATGTTGCATTTTTTTTCTACTTGCGCTAAACTTCACCCACTGAAGACTTCCCGTTTTTCTTTGGCAGAATGGCGACGTCCAGGTTACCTCTCGTGGTAGTGCTTGGTGCCACGGGCGCCGGCAAATCTAAGCTGGCTATTGAGATTGCCAAGATATTTAAGGGAGAAATTATTAGTGCGGACTCCATGCAGGTGAGTTGCCTTGTTGTTTATCTGTGATTTTCAATAACTTTTGCAATATAAGCAACTTTGCATTGACCTATAGTGACAGTCACAGTGTGACTAGAAAGTGAACATTCTAGAAAATGGTGCTGATAAAAATGATAGGAATATCAAATTGTTCGATCATTCACATTGAAAACCTGGGTTGGTATGGATAATATGTATCTTGTAAAATTGAAATACCGGTGTGATATGTGTGTAACGTAGCTCAGAGTTGCTGTTTCACTTACAGATGTTTGTGTTTACTTGCACGTGCATGTTGCAAACTCAAAAATTTCTGTCATAGAAGTGGCATGCTGACCTTATGGTCAGTCACAAAGATGTTACCAGTCAGTCAGTAGTAACACAAGCGCATTCAATGTTGCAATATTTCAAAAGCCCCTCTCCTGTTTTCAGTGTATAAATGTAATCGAATCATTACAGATGGACATATCGTAAATAATATGTTTTCCATCACAAGAGAATGAGATTATCAGTGATGAGTGTTGAAGTCCAAGGTGATTGTTAAGGCTGATGCAAGCCTGGATCTTCTTGGGCAGTATAGATGGACATCAGCTGGTTGACATTCTAGAGCAGAATTTTTAAACAATTCATTTGGGTGATTCAGCTTATAGACTATGATTAATATAATTTTTTGATGTCCAGAAATGCAGTTCAGTCACTGTTAGCAAACTAGAGGTGTGCAAATCAAAACCACACATTTGCAGATTTTTATGTTCAGGTTTTATGATCGCGCAACACACCTTCATCAGCCGCCATCGCACTGTGTCGCCTCACACAGTTTGGAAAATTTTGTTTGGGAGAATATATTGCTATATTGAGCATTTTAGCGTATGACATGCGTGTCTCTGTATTAATTAAATCGTATCTTTTCATTTTCAGTGATCTCAGCACTTTCACCAATGGGTGATCCAAATATTACACATTTTAAAAAGTAATAATGGTAACATAAAAAAAAAATGACTACAGTGGAGCGGCCATACATGGCACATAGGTACACCAGTTTTTTTCCAACTGTGGGTGCTTCCATCCTTTGATGGGGCCATGACTAAAAATACGGCAGCAGTGAAGACAAAGATGAAATAGCTGAGGGGAAAATAATTTTTTTTTTTGGGGGGGGGGGGCACTGTCCTTGCGTAAGGAAGGTAAATGAACTAAAACATTCAAAGAAGGACGGCCTTTTCTGATGTTTGGAAGGCTTCTGTTGTGCTGTGAAATTTCTATTACATATAGGACAGCAGTCGAGACAGATGAAGTAGTAGATACCATTTTCTTTCACTATCCTTAGTGAAGCCATGCAGTTAGATCTGGTTTCTAGTGTTTCCTATTTGCAAAGGTGAGTTTTCTTGGTGTCGCCATAATTCGTCTGACTTGTCAACACCGGCCACCCACCCACCTCTCTAGGGTTTGTATTTTTCATTGTACATAAATGAGCCAGCACGGCCGATGCATCTTTTGCTTTTGGAGGATAAACACTGTATTCAGCACAGGAGAAATGGTCAGCATTGAGCTTGTTGAGTACAGTGGTACATGCCTGCTGTGTAGCATGTAACAGCACAAGGGTTAATAAGTTATTATGGAGGTTTTGCATAATGTATGTCAGGTTAGTATTTTTAATTATTACTTTGTAGGTCATGATTTTGCAGCTAGAGTTGTAATATTTTTGTTACGTTTGTTGCAGGTCTACAAAGGCTTGGATATTATTACAAACAAAGTGTCCCCGGACGAGCAGCAAGAGTGTCCACACCATTTGATCAGCTACCTGGAGGCTGACCATCGACACTACAACATTGTGGACTTCAGAGATGCTGCTCTACCCATTGTATCCTTGGTTCTTGTCTAAAAGCGTATAGTCTCTCATTTGTTGTACATTTTTTTTTTAAAATTAATTTTACACCCTAGAGATCAGGGCATGTTTAGAAACCTTTGTCTGTGGCAATTAAAGCTACTATGTGTCTTCCAGGTGTGTTTTTGGTCCTTAAATATGAATGCAAACTATTCTCTATAGCATGCATAAGCGTAAAAGTGTGTGTACACGTTTGTGAGTAGGGGCTTTGTGTATATATGCTCATGCCGACATACATTTATGTCTATTATCTGTATGTATATAAGGTCCATGTATGTGTACTTTTCTGTTTTTATATAAAACTGGTGCTGCATGAGGGAAAGGGGTGTAGCATCGTGTAGAAAGTTTTTTGCAGATGGTCACTATCACTACAGTTTGCTGAAAATGCAGATGGTCACTATCACTACAGTATGCTGGAAAGTAAAATATTGTAAAATAAAAATTCAGTCATGTCACTATGGGGGAAGATGTTACCACCTGAGGGATCGATTAGAATAGTAATGGAAAAGTTCTCACCGTTAAAAATTAATTGTAAAGATGAGTTAAACAGACAGCCTAAATATACATATATCTGACACCCAGGTATAAGCCTTTAGAAATGGAGTTGGCTGTCAACTGTTAGAACCCAACTGTCGAAGAATTAGAAAGGATGTTTAAAAAAAAAAATTGCCACTTACTACCTTTATACACCACTTCTGCTTTGTAGGCATTTTTTTTTTTTAGCCTGAGTATTAAAGGCCGCATGGCAAGTGCTGTCGCTATGACTGTGCAGGTGAAGATTTTATTTTGCCCCCGACATAAAAAAATCCCCAGCCTTACCGAGGAGTTAAACTCAAGTCTTCCGCATAAGAGTCCAACCACTCCTCAGAAAGGATATAAAACTCTTGAAAGATGTAGAAGCTTTTAGCCCAGATGGTATCCCAGTAGATATTTTTTGAGCAAGTATATGCTCCTGTTCTGCACCTGCCTTCTCTTGAAGGTTAGCCAGTATTATGTGGCTGCTCTGGACCAGCCTGATGGATGGCACCACCTGTGGACTAGGAAACAAAGATGACCAAACAGCAATAAGACCTCAGTGTTCTACAAAACTAATAGGGAACGGTACCAGAGAACAATTGCTAGTAGAAGTCACAGATATTGCAGCTGTTTTGTAAGCGGGCACAGCATATGTACGTCCTCAGATAAACGAAGAATAAAAGAGATGAAATGGCAAACTTGATTAAAGAAGAACAAGGATAAGACAAGATTTAAAGGGATCATCAATTTAAGAACACACACCTAATCAGCAGCTCTGGTTATCCTATGTAATGGCAAACCATGACCGTCTATTAATATCTATCTGCACTACAAGTTTTGTGACAGTTCAAAATAAGATAAACCTAGGTCTATAACAGATGCTGACCCTAACCCTCTTGCCCAGAGAAAGAAATTTTTCTGGCTTTTAAGGGATAGGTTGACATAATGTCTTAATACAGTGCCCAGTATGACTGTATGACAGTTTTGCTACCGGCTGTAACTGCATAGTATGTAGACATAGTGGGTATGATTATATTTACTAAACATTTTTTGAGACATTATTTCTGGTGGAAAAAGTCCTAACCTCCACATTATGCCAACCATGCTTGAAGTCCAGTTGTTTAAAAAAAAAAGCACTAAAAATCGGGCCATGCCTCAGTTGGAAATAAAGTTTTTTTTACAGGTCACTGATAAAAATTCAGGGTATAGATCGCGGTAAGCGGCACATGATTTGTTTAATTTCTCTTGCCATTCATGCCTTCTTAGGTCTCTGGAACTCTCCTGTGCTGCAGGGAAGTCATGTCTTTCTTATTGTGAATGCTTTAACCATTGCCTCTTTTCTCGTCTTCTCACCGCTCTCTTTGCATGAGTATTTTCACGTTCAGCTACCTCTGAGACAGTTTGGGAGTATAGAAACAGCAATATTTTTCTGTTCCTACACTCCTTGTAGCAGCTTTCTTTCTCTCAGGCGCGAGCCACCGCCAGCGCACATAGAAATAGAAAAACATCCCAGTTTCGATAGCCTAGAATAATCACGCCTGCGGCGCTTCCCCCTGCAGTACTTCTTATCTTCGGCGCCTGAAATAGACTCACAACAACGCAACCTCTCACAAACACTACATACTATGAGCGAACACCAAAACAAGCCATATCATAACACCTCTGCAACAAAGGAGAGGTCCAGCAACCTAAGGAGGAATGAATGGCAAGGGAAGTTTACCCTTAATCTTGGGCGGCTTATCGCGACCAGTTCCAAATTCAGTAAAAAAAATTATCACTATTCTGTTAAAAAAAATTTTTTTAATATTTTAATCATATGAAGGGAGTAATCAGTAGGCATGAACAGGGTGAAATATTAAATGGAAAATTTTCCCAGGGGTCTGAAAAATATGTATGAGGTTACTCATGCTGCGACCTGTATTACTTCTTCTTTTTATGTTAATAGCTGTAAACTCCGGAGAAGAGTTCTGGGTGTTTGTCCACTTCTGCACTGTAGTCCTGTTTCAGAACCTGAGTGTTGTGTGCACATCCATTTCACACATCTGACTTTTTTTTTATGCAGACTGTTGGTTCCTTGTCTCTCAGGCAGATGCACTCGAAGAAAACTCCCAATTAGTCTACTCTTATCACATGTTTTTGGGTAGTCAGTAGGTGTGTTTTTTTTTTTTTTCACCTTGAACCCACACAGGGTACGTCTATTACTGAGACTTACAGGAAAATTGGACATCAAGTTAGCTTTCAAGGAGTATTTGGCTCAGAGGAAAACTCCCTGAAGGCTATTATTAGCTAATATACTCATATCCTGCCTTGCTAAATGTTTGCACATGCATGAAAACAGTCAAAAGCACTAACTGCGTCTCATAAACAGTGACATTTCTGGGGAATTAGACCTAGCCGGGGTGTCTTTTTTGAGGCTTGTCGAGACAAAAGGGTTAAGAGTGAACACAAACAAGTGCTCTGACGATTATATTGCCGTAGCAGCTGTTAACAGGAACAGACCTTAACAGCATGCACAGATTGATGACTTACTTTCCAAGCGGATATTACCTATTGTTGTCGGCGGAACAAATTATTATATTGAAAGCGTTATTTGGAATTTCTTAATTGATAAAAAGGTAAGAGCTTTTGTGTACATCTGTTGTATTTTTATCTTTATCTGTTTTATGTATTGTTTAAAAATAAATTATGTGTTTCATTGTTAACTTTAAACAGTGTTTCCGATAAAAAATGTAACTTAATTTTCATCTGATGTAATAGGAGGTGACGTCAATAAGTAGATCACAAATGGTTGTTTAAAAAAAAAAAACAACTACAGGCGATAACAACCTGGGAGCCGTTTATTTTTACACATACACTGTCCCTTTTTTTTAAATTACATTTGTGCACCTGTCCCATAGTTTTATCCCAAATTTGCTACATAGAACTGCATGCTTTTTTCTAAACCACATTTTCAGTTGTCTGGGTACCTACCTTGAGCACACTTTCTGAAATTTCAATTGATCATGCATTATTATGTTGCTGAACCATGTGAGCACCCTATTGCAGCTGCATCACAGTCAGCCATTACTCGCCTGTCACCTCTAATCATCTCCCCCACACGTTGCATGAATGCCTCTGTTGCATTTTCAACAGGATGATCAGATCGGACTTCGTCACGATTTTAGAGCGCTCTTGAGATCATTTTTTTACCCAGGTATACACTGCTTTACGGGATAAACATTTGTCAGTGTAAATAGAAAGCATTTCCTTGTGAATTTCTTTTGCAGCCAGTCCTTTGGTTCTCCCACCCCCCCCCCCCCCCCCAAAAAAAACCAGCATGTTGTTCTTTGAGGGTACATTCCATAAGTAAAGTTGCCTTTTTGTTTCAATGTTGCAAGTGCGCATGCCACACCTTGCGCCACCTAACGGACGGAGACATAAAATCGATGTTGCTTACACCTAATGACACCTTTAGAAACCACCAACTGTATTTTCCTGCTGTTCTATAGTCATTTGTGAATTAACCTATTGACCCCCCACCCCCCCCCCCCCCCCCCCCCCCCCCCCCCCCCCCCCCCCCCCCCCCCCCCCTTCCCCCCCATAGTTTGATACATTTATGAGCATGTTTTAACATTTGCAAACTGTTTTCTCTTAAATATTTTATTTCCAAAATTCCAGCTGGTCTTTTTATGTTACTACATATCATGCAAGACTGTGTGATTTCCTAGGCTTACGTTGTTCACATACTCATTAGGTGCTGTGTATTTACTTTTTATTTTAGAGGGAACAGGTGAATCATAGTGCTAACACTGTTAACACTATAACTTAACACTTATAATGGAATTGGCCACTCCCACTGGACTGGTGGTTCCTTCATAACCATTTTGTGGTGCGCCAATATAAATGTGCTGAATGACTATACAGTTGAATGTTTTTGGGATCTGTGTCTGTTTTGATTCTCATCCTTGACATGTTTATCCTAATGAGTTCAGTCCTGAAGGGGGAAAAAATAAGGGTCAACAAGGATAGGATGATTCAAATTTAAAAATTGACGATTTGTTTAAAAAAAAACTAGGCATCCACTGAGGCATATCAGCTAGAGGCCAACCTTTTGGCCCTAATGTACTGGTTTTAAATCCTTAATGATGCAGATTTCTTCCTCTCTTTAAAATTTGCCTTAACTGCTAGCCTAAAATGGTTGGCTGGGAAGTAAATGACCTGATGCTGACCACGTCTTCCGTATAGAGTACTGATTGGTCTATACAAACAATAGGTCTTGCACTGTATGATTGATGCCTCAAAGAGTGACCAGAAGCCTATATACATTAAAAAACAACTGTATACTGTACAAGTGAAAGTCTAATTACAATTTTAAAATATAAAGATTGGAGTAGATTAAGTTAATAGTTAAAATGTCATTAGTTTGGTCGTAGTTAGGTTATCAATTTTCCGATAAATTGTTCTGGATTTTATCATTAAGTTTTATTTTCCGTATCATAACAGGTGCCATCTAACATCTCTTTACCCTTGGGTGCACATTCGCTAGAAAAATCCACAGTCCTTACAATCCATTATTTATTGTTGTTACAGATGTGAGTGGCTGAAACAATGGAACCTGATGCCACACGCTTAACTTACATTCCTTGAGTAAGTGGGCTGGTTCAAAGCGGCACATTCTGTATAGATGAGGATAGTTCATAGCAGTCTATAATTTCATACCATCTCCTCATATTCCATTAAAGATACTCTTTTTTCTTCTTTAGTTCGCTTTCTGATTTACACCGACAGACAAGTTCTTGTGATAAGAGAAGTTCCCTTTTAATTCCATACAACTTTGAGTGCACTGTGGACTTATTTGGGCCAAGTATTCCCTTCCTAATAGGCTGAACAAAGGACGTTTTTGCAGGACATGTTCTGTAGTATGCGCACACAGCCCACAAGGGACCAAAATGGTGAACAACTTAGATGAAGCCTGTGCATGTGCTTGTTAAGTTTATTATGTCCTCTCCTGAAACTTATTTTAATGAACTGCCCTTGCGGTCAAATAAGCTGTAGTCATCTCTGACCAGATTATGTTCACTTCTGCTAGACTGGATAGGCCTTCTCTTCTCAAAGCATGTTACTGCATTCTCTTCCTGTTCACATTCTACCCCTTTCTTAGCAAGATATGTAAAATACATTCATTCATTCATTCATTATCCGGTTGTGTCATTATATGTCACACAGGACTTACAGTCTGTCCCCTTCATTCAGTTCTATCCTGTGCAATCCTTTTAATAACATGGATGGAATCCAGTCCAGTAGCTTTGGCCTCTCTCATCATATTCATCTAAGGGTTTCGTTTGGACATGTAAAACGGATGTGCACGCAAAACTTAGGTTTTCGAACATACTCCTAAATTCCAGAAGTGGATCAACAAGCAGAACTTTCTGCTGGAGTCTACAGTGGGTGGGTGGGCGCGAAGACGAAGAAGACAAATATATAGTCCACATGGACATTTGGACTGGATACTCGCTTCTATAGGCTACAGGCACCCTGATAAAAGTTTTCTGATCCAAGAAGGACATTAACTAATTTTATTTGGCTTTGATCCCCCGTGTGGGTTCCGGGGCCCCATTGTGGGGAAAACAAGAATAGACCCACTGCCTCCCCAAAAGCATGTCGTAAGATTCGACTAATTGGGGAGCTTCCTTTGAAGTCGGAGTGCATCTGCCGGAGAGGCAAGGAACCAACAGTCTGTATTCAAGAGAATGAGATCTATAAAACTGATGCACACACAACACTCAGGTTCTGGAGCAGGACTGCAGTTCAGTAGTGGACGAGCAACCAGAACTTTCCGCCAGAGTGTACAGCTGGTGAACGCGAAGAAGAAGAAGATTTGGCTTTGATGAGTAAGAAACAGAACGCAAGTGGTGAACACCTAAAATATAAGAAGAAACTGTACAGTGGAGCATGTACAGCAGGAGTCTACCAATCATCAGTAGAAGTAATCTCTCATCGACAAATGTTTCGGCCCACGAGCTCCTAGACATTTTCAGGGAGTGGGCCCACCACGTAGGCGTAAGAAACATAGAGCGCAATTGGTGAACACCTAAAATATGAAGCTATGACCAACCACAATATGTGACTAGGTACAGTACGTGTGCAGAGCCTAACATTGCGGATCCCTGTGTCAGAATTAATTGTATAGTTGTGTTTGTATATTTGTGTCAGAACTCAACAACAATACTAGCTCTACATGTTATGCTTGAGATATTGACAGTAAAGTACTGACAGATGCCAGTTAAGGTTGCACAATTGAGGAACATGGTTTTTTGTACTTGGTTGACTAACAGGCAGGCTTTTCCTGGTCATGTTACTACATTCCTTGGATACGTAGGTGTTCATATACTCATCACAGTGATGTGGCGTTTTCTTCTGTTTTCGCCCTTCTATGGGCAGTTAGCACTTTGCGTTGTGGTTTACAGCTAGGCTGTCTTTTTCTTCTTCTTAGCGGTCGCCGGCGACAAGTTTTGTCCACTTCTGCACTTTGGTATTTTTTTTCTGAGCTTGAGTTTTGTGTGCACATCTGTTTTAAAAATCTGGCTTATTTGAATACAGACTATTGGTTGCCCGTCAGGTAGATGCCCTACACTTCTAGTTAGTCATCTTTTATGACAGTCATTTGGTCCCGCGCATCCATTTTCAGCAAATCCTTTTACAACATTCTTATTAAGAAGCAGGTATCCGTCCACCTTCCGCTAAAAGGCGGCCACGGAACCCAGCGGGTAATATGGCGTCTGGCCTTCTGGTACTGTCAAATACAAAGAAAAAGTAGTTCTGTAGCAAATAAGACCATTAGAGTATTAGATTTCACAAATTCCAGGTTATAATGCACGAGGTGAGAATTCTAATTCGTTTTCTCATCACTTCTTCTGCCCAGATGACCTGCAGAAATAATCTGATACCCCTTCCTTGTTATTTGGCTGCGTCAGCATCAGAATTTTACAAGTTGGAGCAGTGCTATCACTGCATTGATTTGGGGGGGGGGGGGGGGGGGGGGGTTAAACAACAAGCATGTCAAAGAGAGACCATCTGGTGTCATGCCAAGGTCAGTTTAAAAAAAAGTCTGGCACGGTTCTGGATTTGAACCCACGACCTTCGTATCGACAGGCGAACGTCTAGCCTCTGCACCGTGGCGGCTTCCAGAGGGTCGGAAATCAGTCATCAGGTTCTTTACAGTAGACGCCTGAATGTCGCTCCTTCTATAGCTGGTTCTCCAGTTCAGCATGCTTCTATGCACTGAAACCCTTTGTGGTCCAGGTTCACGCCCGGGGGTAGGCAGAAGAGCCACATTTCTCCCAGATTTACGGTATCTATCATGGAATCAAGGCCGAATGGTTGCGATATCCTTAGTACCGAGCCACAGGGTTTACAACACATGGTTTCTTAATAAATTTAAAAAAAAAATAGTCGGTGTATCTTCATTGTCCTGGTTTATCTTCAAGTTGGTCTGCCTCTGTGTCGTTTTCCGGAGATGGTACCTTCCATCACCATTAATTACTCAGTACGATAGTTTATAGAAATGGCGAATGGTGTTTTCTGACTTTTAACTGTTGCTCGGTTACTCTTCGCCACTGAACCCGGTCACTTTTTG